TGGTGCTGCTGCTGCTGCTGCTGTCAGCAGCAGCAGCAGCAGCAGCAGCAGCAGACAGGCTCCGAGATGCACCCAAAACCCCCAACCACTTCGCCAATACACTCAAACCACCGCATGCAACGAAACCCTTCACTGCAGCAGGACTGCCCCGCTGCAGCAAACCTGAAAAAACAAAAACCCTAAACCCTAAACCCTAAACCCTAAACCCTAAACCCTAAAACTTAAGCCCTAAGATTGTCTCAGCTTGAACATATATAGCGTTGCACTGCAACGAAGATGTAACCAACCCCAGGGTATACAGTCTAGGGTTTAGGGTTTGGGGTTTAGGGTTTAGGGTTTGGGGTTTAGGGTTTGGGGTTTAGGGTTTACGTACTGATGCACTGCAGCTGCAACGCCTCGGGAGCTTGCGGCAGCAACCCCACCAGCTCCTTCGCCTGGGCCTGCAGCACACAAACCCTAAACCCTAAACCCTAAACCCTAGACCCTAGACCCTGGACTCTAAAGCTTAGAACGCGCCTGAAACAGCCCTCATGCTGCGCTGACACCAGTCAAGGGTTTAGGGTTTAGGGTTTAGGGTTTAGGGTTTAGGGTTTACTTCAGTCTTCAGGGCGAGGGTTTCAACAGAGACAGACGGGTCCACGCCAAACACCGCAGCTAACATATGCTGGAACTTTCCCGCTGCGCACACACAAAACCCTAAACCCTAAACCCTAAACCCTAAACCCTAAACCCTAAACAACTCGGAATGGTACAGATAGGGAAGGGAGCAAGTGCCTTGAATATCAGGGTTTAGGGTTTAGGGTTTAGGGTTTGGGGTTACGAGGGTTTTTGGGGGGCTGCCGGATGGTCTTGTTTGCTGCGCCTGGCAAGGAGGAGCTCTGCTGCAGTTTGCTGCTGCTGCTGCTTGTGCTGCTGCTGGTGCTGCCCGTGCTGCTGCTGCTGCTGCTGCTGCTGCTGCTGCTGCTGCTATTTGCTGCATGAGAAGCTGCTGCTCCAGTGACGCCCTGCTGCCGCTGCAACAATGACTGCGGCCGCTGCTGTTGCTGCTGCTGCTGCTGCTGCTGCTGCTGCTGCAGCTGCTGCCGCGGTGCCCAGGGCTTGGGTCGCTTGTCGCCCCCAAAGAACCCCGCAGCAGCAGCAGCAGCAGCAGCAGGTTTGCTGCTGCTGCTGTTTGAAATACTGTTGGGGCCTCGCAGCAGGCGCTGCTTCTGCTGCTGCTGCTGCTGCTGCTGCTGCTGCTGCTGCTGTCGGGCCAAGGACTTGCCCAGGGGCTTGCTGCTACCCCCTCTCCCACTGCTGCTACTGCTGCTGCTGCTGCTGCTGCTACTGCTGCTGCTGCTGCTGCTGCTGCTGTCGCCGTCGTCTCCACTGGTGTAGTGTGAAGCCGCAGTGACCTTCATGAAGCTGTGTTCGCTGCTCTGCTG